TGAAGTCAATTCTTTGCATACTAAAGGCTAGAACAAAAGTCACTGGAATGTCATGAAACGAAAAGCATTGTTTGTGTTTTTTCATGCAAGGACCACGTTCTTCAGCTGCCAGTTCTCTCTGAATTACAATGTGAGAAACAGGGCCTCCTTTTGGGGGGAGCAGAGCAAAGTTGTCCTGGGTTACAAATGCTTAGGGGAAAGGAAATGGCCCACTACTAGTGTAGCAACTCCACGTCACCCAGCAATCCATGTCTGCTACCTTACCGCTGGAAATAATCACTTTTTAAAAAGCATTGTTTTGTTATTCAGAAGCTCTTGCCAACTGGAGACACAAAAGTTGCTTGCCAATTGGAGGCATGTTACTCTTGAGTTGCTTTTATTTTAATAGGAAAAGAATAATTTGGAAATATCAGCCACTGATAGTAAGTAAAGTAAGCATGCATAAAATTACATTACTTCTGCTGCTTTCTGTCGCAAGTCCCATTTCTACTATAAATTGGGTGGAAGCTGTCTTGGTTTGGCACTAGTATGTAAGATAGTTTGCATACTGGTGTTGCTCTAATACTGTACACGTACACACACACACACACACACACACACACAGTCTCTGCTATTACAAAACTTAGTGTTTGTTCTATTCTGCAACCAGAAGTGTCAATGTAGGAAATGTTTTCCACTGTCTTCCCATTCATTTCAATGACCCAAAAAGAATCCAGATAAATGAGCTCAGCAGAGACCAAAACTATATGAGATCCTTCCAAAGTTCTCTCCAGGTATGCAGTGAAATCATTTACTTACTTTATTTCAAAGGTTTGTGTATGCTTAATCGCAGTAGTCTCTAAAGTGCTGCACAGGAAACCCAATACAGTGAGACTGAAAATGAATTAAAACTATAATCTGGTTGCAATGCTTTAAAGAAGTCTTCAATAAGCATCAGAGGTTCTGCAGGGAGGTGGCCTACCGGACCTCAACTGTCTGGCAACAAGATTGGGTCCACAATTCCGAATGCATAGCTTCTTGTGGTTCCAAGCTGTGCATCTGAGCCATGGAAGACCACTAACAGTGACTTCCCCCAAAAAACTTCAGTGATTAAGCAGGGGTATAAGTAGTGTTATTTTTCTAGACAAAGAAGTGCCAGAACTCTCCATGAACTCCTCCCTTGTTCTCTTATAATGGCAATGGTGCATACCTGAGAGGTGCCAGAACTGAGTTCCAGTGGGTTCTGGCTGAAAAAAGCCCCAGATATACAGAATCAGGCAGTCCCTGAGGGCTGCACCCAAGTTGTTAAAGGTCTTATAAATAAATACAAGAACCTTGAAATCACAGAATGCTGTTCATGGTCCTGCACTATTCCTCTCAAGGCTATCAAATAATGCTTGAAGAATTCATTTTTTGGTGAACTCCAGTACAAACTTAAAAGAGCCAGAGACTACTGTATTTAAATATTTTGTTGGAAGCTGCCCAGAGAGGCTGGGGAAACCCAGCCAGATGGGTGGGGTATAAATAATAAATTATTATTATTATTATTATTATTATTATTATTATTATTATTATTATTACTCCTGACTTGATGTGCCAGTCAGAACACAGTTGTCCTTCAGAATATGCCCTTCTCTAAATTTTGTGATGTAGCTCTCTGCTCAAAAACATACTAAATGTACATAAAAATGTGTATTTGGGGATAAAATGTATCTAGAAATGCTAACTGTGGAAAAAAAATATAGTTAGAAATGCATGTTGTGAGAAAATACACCCAGAATACTTGTGAATTCACACAAATTTTGTTTTTAAGCCCCCCTGCTGATTAAGGCATAAACTGGGAGAGAATTAACAGACGGGGGAAAGACAAAGGGCAGCACCTTCTCTTCAACTAATTCTGCACAGGGGTTTCCCCCAATTATTTGGAGCAGATGGGGGGCATGGGGAGCATTTGGGGTGAGGGTGGGGAAGTCATTGGATACCACCCACAGACCATCCATTCCTTGGGCTATCTGAATTTTTCAAAACCCCCAATCCCAAAATCCTAAAGCAAAAAGGATTCCTTGGTGGAACACCTTGTTCCTTTAAATGCTATAACTCCAGCAAAAAAAAAAAAAATTGATGCAAGTTTAAGCTACAGCATTCTTATTTTTAAGGAAAAACTCCTTGAAGTCTTTTTTTGTGTGTGAAAAAACCTTGCATCTACATGGCACAGAAACAGAATTATCTTCAGTTCCACCATATTCTCAGAGGGAAACCTGTTAATTGATGGGAGCAGGGAAGAAATCATGTTCCAGGCATCACTCTCTGGAGGGCCTGAAATTCTCTGGCAGATGGATGAGGCAAGGGAATTTGCAGCACAAGATGTGCTGAAAGCTCAAGCTGAATTTTCTTCACAGCTAGTTATGAGTTCATCTCTGTAGAGAAGATGGTTGGAGGAGGGGATTCAAATCGACTTCTGGATTTTTTTAAAAAAAAGCAATTCACTTGACCAAATCTGTTTCTTTCTTTTTTAAAGCACCTTCTGCCAGACTCCTGGGAACTGTAATATGTTAAGGGTGCTGAGAACTGTAGGTCTGTGGGGAGTAAACTACCTTTTCAAGTATTATTAATGGGAGTGGACACATGCTTTTCAACATATGATGTGTACTCGGTCTCTGAGCCATTGGGTTGGATCCTGACTGTGGTGAACTCTACCCACAAGTTTCTCCACAGGAGGAAAGGAGAAGTAAATTTGGCCAATTCCTTTAGCCTCCTTTGCTCCCACAAGGGTTGCTTCAGAGGGTCAGAGAACCCACCCACCCCACACACACACACAACAGTATGACTGCTGCAGGGAGAAGGTGGCAATCAGCTATATCAGGCATAGGCAAACTTGACCCTCCAGATGTTATGGGACTACAAATCCCATCATCCCTAGCTAACAGGACCAGTGGTCAGGGATGATGGGAGTTGTAGTCCCAAAACATCTGGAGGGCCAAGTTTGCCTATGCCTGAGCCATATTCACGTCTCCTCCAGTGGATCAAGGTTCCTTCCATAAATGGAAACACATGGAAAGGCAAGTCTGGTTCCAACCCAGAGTTTTAGATCTGTGGTTTTATGGTTCCACCACACCTTGTGAGAATATAAATTCAGAATATAAATTCAGGATATAATATAAATTCAGAATATAAATTCAGAAGAATATAAATTCAGGAGCGCAGAAAATAAATTGTTTTCCTACTGAAAAATAGTATTTTTAAAAATGTGAGCAGGGAAATAGGGTAAGGAAGGGCAAGTAAAGAGAATGCCAATTTTAATTCCAATAGATATAATAGGCTAGGTATGTTATCAATTGGGGGGGGGGATCCCCATTTAACTGAATTATAGGAATCTCAAACTGGCTTCCCTTTGACAGCTGTAGTACAGTTCTGAGATTAAGCAGAGTATGCATTCTGGCTTGCCATGTGCCTCTATAATCATAGCCACCATTCAGCAAGCCCCCCACCCCCAAACCCTCGATCTCAAACTCAGACCTAATAACTGTTAACACCTTATTTTGCACCTGAACCTGATGCACAGCATGGAGACAACATATGTGCCCAAGTGCTGACAGACTGATGCTGCATTCCCCCACCGCTGGCACCGAGGCAGACAGACAAGCTAGCTGCAGCAGTGGTGGCAGCAACAGCAGCTGACATTACTGGAGGGCAGGTTAATTAACATTTGGAAATTAAACAGTACAACATGACTTGCAAGCATGAAAATAGAGATTGCTCCGTCATTTACAGTTGAGAGAGAATATTGAGAGAGAGAAACCTTCAAGAATCACAGGTAGTGATGCTCAGGGCCGTCTTACCCATAGGCGCTAGGGGTGCGGGGCACTCAGGGGCGCCAGCCTGAGAGTCTGGGGCCTGAGAGCTGAGTCCGGGGAAGAGCCCACCCGTTGGTCAGAGTGCTGCAGCGGGCTCTTCTGCTGCGGGCAGCTCTGCACCACAAGTTTGGGGGTGACCGAGCCAGCGAGACGCTGAGGTGGCCAGCCAGCTCTGCCCTCCTGCACACCTGGGACTGGGCAACCTGGGGCGGGGGCGGATCTTTCCACCCCAGCGCCGCATATGCTTAAGACAGCCCTGGAGATGCTACAACATATACAGGACAGGACAAATGTTAGAATAAACACCTACAAAAGGAAACAACATCAGAGCTAGTACTATTCAGAATCAGATCTAAGGGCAAAGTTGTTCCTTGATTATCTAGTTGGCATAGATGCGTGATCTAGTGGTGGAACTATCATGACTGTGTATTCACCATTATTCTTTACTTATATATTTCCACCCCACATTCAGACCCCAACATATCAAAAGGCAACTCACATAAAATAATAGAATGCAAGCAAACTGTTCAAACCATCCTACTGAAACATTGAACTAAAATCATGAAAACTGCTCAGCTACAATGAGACAATGAATGCCACAAAAAAGCCAGCAAACAAGAGCGCACAGATACTTCCTATTAGCAGTCATGCCATCCCATCAAAGGACAATAAAAAATGACTCTTGGGGCTTGAGACCTGTGACTGAATCTCCTGCCACTTTTTAACAATTGAAAAGGAGCTGTGTCAGTGGTGAGATCTAACAGGACTTAGGAGGTTTAACACCTGATGCCCCTGTGTCACTTTCCTGGTAAAAATCGCCCTCCAAACTGCTATTTGCCCTACAAGGAGGACAATGCTTGTATCCTCAGGTCCCCCCCCCCCTTGTAGGGCAAATAGCTTTCAGGGTGGTCTTTCCTTGGGACCATGACCTTGGGGGAAAGGGTAACTGTCCATCATCCAGTGTCACAATCCTGATCAGATCTCTCCACACACTTTGGCTACTTTATTAAACAGTGGTGATCTAATTTTGGATCCTCTGCTGTGAGAGTTGCCCTGTCAGCCTTCTAAAAAGCCACAAGAGAGGTACATAGCTCTGCTTCACACCAACATTGCTCATGGGAACATGGCATACACACTGGGGTAACTGCTTTTCTCCTCAGACAGTATAAAAATATAGGATGCTTCATGAATTTGTGTGTCATCTTTGCACCAGGACCAAGTTAATCTCCTCACTATCATTCCAATTTTAGTATATGTGTCACCCAAGCAAGTGCCTTGCGGCTGAGACTATAACTACGCATTTTTCAACATCTCTTGCTCAAGTCATAGGGCTGATTGTAAATAACAACATATTGCCCTCAATGTACATGGAACTTCTTTAAAGTGACATAAATTAGCAATGGTGACAAAGTAGAAATTTGTATAAATGCACTTTGCCTTGGTAGGGAATTAGAGCTAGCTACTAATACTTGAAATCTAACCGAAAACAAAACACAGCTCTTTTGCTGGAATGATAATGCATTTGCTAGCTTTAGCACTTGAGATCCCTGCCTCAAAATGCACAGCGCAATTTAAAGATAAACCATCTAGAAGATGGCATGGGCAAAGCAATTTATTCAAAGCAATGTGATTAGGATGCATCCACAAGATGCATCCTACAACAGGGTTGGCCCTCCAGATGTTTCTGGACTACAACTGACCACTGGCAATCTGGCCAGGGCTGATGGGAATTGGAGTCCAACAACATCTGGTGGGCCACAGTTTCCCTATCCCTGCCATATAAGTTTCACTGCTAACTTTCCAGGGCAGTTCATGTTGTATATTTGAAAGACCTTAGAACTGAGCTGGAAAGGACAGAAGGCCAAGAATGAATTTAATACTTACATCTTCCTGAGTATCTTTATTAGGATGTTCAACTTCTCTACGAATTCTGGAGAACCAGAACGTAACTTCTGGCATTTTTTAATCAAATCTAAATAGATGGATATGTTGTGAGAACCTTTGCTAGGTACAGTGCCTTTGCCAAGCTCACAGGAATGTAACCTAGGGACAAAAAGGAGAAACAGAATGTTAGATTTAGAGCAAACTCATCATGTAACTTCTAGGAAAATAGGGCAGGATTTATTAGGTTAATAGGTTCACATGCTTATACCACGGCATTTGTGAGGAACCAAGGGTTCCCACAGAGATGTTACTAATCATTCAAAGCAAAATTGGGAGTTCCTCCTCAGGCAAAACTTCTGAGGGATTCTGAGGCAAGCCAGAAGAGTTTAAGTAAGAGACACAAAACTTTTCCAGGCATTCTGCACATCACTCCATTATCACTGGGTTTTGCCCAAAGCAAAATCTGAAGCAAATGTTGTGTTTCTTTCTTATGCAAATCATCTGAAGAATTTTGAGGGAAGCCAAAATAATGTTGGCATGGTTAGCAACCTTTTTCCAGGGGCATTTCACACATTCCAACTCCCCACAGGCTGGTGGAACACCAACAGGAACTTGGCCTTTTGGAGAATGAACCATATCTCCGTGGTGGGGTGTGTGTTTTGTGTGCACAAGGTCCTAAATTCATTCCCTGGGACTTCTAAGAAGAAGAAGAAGAAGAAGAAGAAGAAGAAGAAGAAGAAGAAGAAGAAGAAGAAGAAGAAGAAGAAGAATAATAATTCAGGTAGCAAAGCTGAGAAACCCTGCCCTTTTGGAGATCTGCTGCTAGTCTGACTCCATCTGCACTATACATTTAAAGCAGTATCACACTACTTCAAACTGTCGTGCCATCCCTCAGAGGATCCTGGGAACTGTCATTTGTTAAGGTTGCTAAGAGTTGTCAGGCGATCACCCATTCCCCTCACAATGCTACAAGACTCAGAGTAGTTTAATAATCACTCCCTTTCTTGGGATCTCTGAGAATTATAGTTCTGTAAAGGGAACAGGATTCTCATAACAACTCTCAGCACCCTTAGCAAATTATAGTTCCGAGAATTCAAGTGCCATGATATTGCTTTGAATGTAAAAGCAGATGGCGCCTCAGAGCAGACAACAGGGCTAGATGGACCAGCAGTCTAACTCAATATAAGGCAGGCTTATAGGTTTATATCTCTGAGAATTTTCTATAATTCATCTAACAGTAGTCCAATTTCTCATCCTTCGGTCCAGGATTTACGTATTTCACAAAATTCAAGTGTAGGTTTCCTTCGTATCTGCTATGAAGGAATCTGCTATGAAGGAATCTTCGTATCTGCTATGAAATACGTAAATGTTTATCTGCTATAAACATTTACGTATTTCACAAAATTCAAGTGTAGGTTTCCTTCGTATCTGCTATGAAGGAAAACGTTATTGCAGTAGACTTTTGAGTTAGCAGATTACTCTTGCTACTATTGCAGCACTGATAAATTTATCAGATGGATTTTTTAAAAAGAAAGCATTTGAATACAATATCACATAGGCAATCAAATAGCAAATTCAAGTAAAAAGGACATGTTGGAACAGCATTAATTATAATTATACACCAGTTGAAAATGAGCTTCTCCTTTGCTTTGGTCTTTTAGTATGGATTAAAATGGCATCAGCCTATAAAATCACAGAACACAAGTCCCAGCTTGTGAGCCTTGAAGTTATCTACCTCACCTTCCCAGGTCTTGATGATGGGAAGAGTAGCCCAGGTTTAATCAAACTTGCTGGAGGACCTTGGGCCAATCAGCAGCTCTCAGCCTAACCTACCTCACAGAGCTGATAAGGATAATAGTGAGAGGGAAAAGACACGTGTGCCAACTCAAAGGTATCTCAGGCATTGTAGATTTTTGAGGTGGTATTTACTGAGTCCTTGTGTGTGTCATAGGAAGTACTAAGAGGCACACTGGTGCCCATGTGCACCATATTGGCAACTGCTGTATGTAGGTCAACATAACCAAGGTTTCATTTGACTGAATCTGAAGAGGAGCACTAACTACAGAGGCAAACCTTTGGGGTCAGCACTGTATTTCTCTCCCCTTCCCATCATTCTGCTTTGATAGAAACCATGCTGCTCAACTTGGTACCAAACTAAACTGCTGCATCCCAGGATGGGCAGAATACTACATTAGGGCACCGTTTCTTCACTGTAAAGTTCTGTAAAAGGGTAGCACTGGTGATGCGATAACATTTTGTTTATTAAGATGACTCTTCTCAGATGGTCTGCTGCAGTTTGCCTTCAGTGCATGTAGTCTCATTTCTCTCCTCCCCCAAAATATATATATAGAAAAACACAATTCCAGCAAAATAAAATTTTTAAAATCCACAGAACATTACTGCAACAGTGAATCAGGCAATAAATTCCATCTTGTATGCATCTGCCTTGTCCCCTTACAGCATATTGCTTTACAGTTAATGTGTATAATCTTATTAGCTGATTGCATTGATCCTCAGCTCACTTGTAAGCAAAATTACTCTGAGTGAGTGTACCTCAGCAGCAGTTGCCCGTTTTTATTATCAGAAAGGTAATCAATTTATTCCTGCGGCCAATCAGATATTTCAAACAAAAGTGCAATCCCAGATATTCTATGGAATCCCGCTATGGGTCCAAGCATATAACAGTGATTTAAAAAAGATTCACTCCAGCTTTCTGAGATGTATTCTTGGACTCCCAGCTGTGATCAAATATGAAACAATGTGTGCAGAAATAGGCATACACACAATGGAATATTGGGCATGGTCCACCTCAATAAAGTACTGGTTACGCTGCCATTTTCGCTGCCTTCCATCAAGTCTGCTCGCTGATTTGCTCAAAGACTCCTATAAATCAAGATGGTATCAGTACCTCGAAAAAAAGATTGAATCTTTAGGCATCGAGCTGGAGCCCCTGTACAATTCTAATGAGCAATACATTTTCCATAATATCCTAACTAGACTAAAGGATGTCGAGAGACAAAATATTATGGCAGCTGTAAACAAAATTTGCTCCCCCATATTCTATGATTTAAATATCTTAGATAGCAGAGCCAATTACGTCACTAAATTAATAATCCCAGCCCAACGTAGGGCTTTTATGCTGGCCCGTTTGAATGTTTTTCCCTCAGCATTTGTCAGGGGAAGATATCAAAACATTCCTAGAAACAAGAGATTCTGCAGATGTTCTATGAATGTCCCGGACACTGTAGAGCATATTCTCTTTCATTGCCCATTGTACAGTATCCCACGTCAACGCGTGCTGTCCCCTCTTTTGGGTGGTCTGGAACCCCAGCAAGGTGAATGTGTGGGATTCTGCCTATCCGACGTCGACCAAAGGGTAACGGCGGGGGTAGCCGAGTTTTTGGTAGCAGTCCTCCAAGGAGCAGGTTAACAAGGAAAACCACTGATTTTATATGTATATATATATATATGTATGTAGCCAACTGCTGCCTTTTATATATATTTTAAGGCTTTTATATGTTATTTCCTCTTTTATGGTTTTATTTGCACAATGCCTAATAAAGGTTTGATAAGTAAGTACTCTGAGTGGATAGCGGTACTTAAAAGTAATTCAAAGTATCTATTAAAATAAGAATTTTGGTGCATCAGCAAGGAAGAAAGTCTAAGCTGCTAAAATATTTCGCCCATTTAAAGATTGGGCAATTTGCTGATCTGTAAAACTTACTTTTCTGTTAAAAAATAAGGAGAAGAAAATTTTAAGTGCCGTAATTTACTGAATGCTTTCCTGAAAGCAAAGAGATTGACTTTCTGTCCACTGTAACCTAGAAATCCTATCTCTGTAAACACTGGGCTAGATTAAACTTTAAATGATAAATTCCCAGGAAAGAAAGGTCATATTGTTGTGTAATCATCTTCTTCCAAAGCATTCCTGTTTGCTAAATAACATTGACCAATATGAGTGGTGGCAAATATATAACCGTCCTTGATTTTCCCCCTAAGGACCTGAAAGTAAAAATGAAATTTACAATGGCATCACCAGATTTATCATAGCTACCTCTTTTGGGAGGCATTTTACTACTATTAGAGATGAACTGCAACCTAACCACTGTTGCACCTGAGCTCTTTCGTTGCAGTTTGCTGTCCTCCTGGCATATTTCATCTTGTGTTATAAGACTGCCAACTGTAAAATTACCTAGACAAATAGATCTTCTATAGGATAGGGCATGTATAGATTGTCATGTGTGAGGAATGCGCACACATAGGGATGGGTGCTTTCCCCCTGCAATTGCACGCAGCAGACACTTATTTTATTATTATTATTATTAATGACCCATCACAGCTGGGCTCTGAGTCTATAAGGAAGTGAAAGATAACTTCCTGAGATCA